CTGGTCTTTTGGCTTGATCATTTTATCCCCCCACTCAGAAAGAGAAATTTAGATTCATTTTGTTAACTTGCTCAATATAGTAAAAAAAAAAAGTAAAAGTAAAAGTTGCTACTTTCCACATAAATAAGACATTCTTATGCCTCATTATATTTTCTCTACAATTAAGATGGGGCCTGAATAGGATAATGAAGCATTTGGGAAAAAAGATACAAGCCAAGAGACCAGCCCCAGAGGCCAAGATGGAGAAGATCTCCACAGCCACCATGGACTTCCCTTTGGTGCTCAGGTAGGTGGGGAGGAAGGTGATCCAAACACTGCAGAAGACCAGCATGCTAAAAGTAATGAACTTGGCTTCATTAAAACTGTCGGGCAATTTTCTAGCTAGAAATGCTATCATGAAACTGACAAGTGCCAGAAAACCCAGGTAGGTGAGGACAGTGTAAAACATTGGAGCTGAGCCTTCATTGCATTCCAAGATGATCTCTCCTACCAAGGAGTGGAAGTCCAAGTTGGGAAATGGGGGAGAAATTGCCAGCCAGGTGGCACAAAGAACTGCTTGGAATAGGGGACAGGTTAAGACAATAGAGTTGGTCAGTGGTTTTCCTAAGAGTTTCCTTGTCTTGTTCCCTGGCTTAGTGGCCATGAAGGCCAGAACCACCATAAGCGTTTTGGCTAATACAGAGGAAACTGCAAGGGAAAAGAGAATGGCAAAGGCAGTTTGTCGGATGAGACAGGTAAACTTCCCGGGTCGACCGATAAAAAGGAAGGAGCAGAGGAAGCAGAGCAGGAGGGAGACCAGGAGGATGTAGGTGAGATCTCGGTTGTTGGCCTTGACAATCGGTGTATCACGATGCTTATGAAAAATTGCTAGGACTGCCAATGTCATCAAAGAGAGAGAAAGAGTAAGAGATGCTAAAGTGTATCCCAGGGTGTCTTCATAGGAAAGGAAGTGGATCTTCTTGGCAATGCAGTGGTCCTTGTCCTTGTTGGGATATTGGTCTTCTGGGCAGGGGTCACAGTGAGCTGCATCTGCAATCAAGAATCTTTGTCTAAGGATTTCATAGTGATTTGCCATAGGTATGATGACTGTCTCAGTGGTGCCATGGGTGTCCCATTTCTACTGAAATAGTGATGGAATAACCCTCATTGCACTTAAAGGGCATTCAGATGGGCAACATCTTCCTCATTCATGGTGACTCTGAAGATCGGTTTGCCAAAGACTAGGACACGTTCAGCTCCAAATCACCTGGTCAGTTTGTGGAGGAAAGACAGACCCTCTCCTTTTGCTGGACACTCCATGACTACTGTGGCTTTAAGCGTGAGTGAAATTCCAACTGTTTCCCCCCCCTCATTTTTACTGGGATTCCCCAGAAGACTCATATATCTGTCAGCCAGGAGTCCTGCTATTTTGTGTTTCTGTATATTATCTTGTGGTGTGTTGTGGGAAGATTACAAATTGAGAGAGAGAGAGAGATAAAGGGCACACGATACTGAGTGTACTGAGTGTTATGAGAGGGAACAATCTCTTTTCTGATCAAAAATGATTGCCATCAAAGTTGATTCCAGAAGTGAGAATAGGAGAAATCTCCAGAGCTACAATAAGACTAAGAGCTCTGCTCAACTCTTCTGCTTTGAACTTCAGTTTCACTCATTCTGACTTTTTTCAGGGAGGGAGGACAGATGTGGATGGATGGACCTCCTCTTTCCTGAGAGATTGAAAATTCTGACAGAAGCACATACTAAATAATAAAAATTAACGCCTGAATCATACCCATACCTCTTTTCAGGAAATGATTGCTAGTTGGTTTTGGCATATTGATGTCACAGTTGGAGTGGAAAGATTACTTGGGAACCCATAATTGTGCTCTGAAACCTACCCTGCATTAATTTGCTGAGGAGAAGGAATGGTGGCCTTTGATCCATAAAGTAAAGTTTTCTCCTGAAAACTATGAAACTTTTCAAGCATGTTAATCCTATTAAAATGTCTCAATCTCTCTGTCTCTGTCTCTGTCACTCTCTTTCTCTATTTCTATTTCTGCCTCTCTCTCCCCTCCTATTTTCCTCCCTCTCTTTGTGTCTCTCTTCTCCCTGTCCCTCTCCCGCATCTTTGTCTCTGACTCTCTATTTCTATCTTTCTCCTCACTCTCCCTCTTTCTCTCTTCCTCCCCCTCTGTCCTCCTATCTCTGTCTCTCTCTCATTCTCTCTCTCTTCTCCCTCACCCTCTTCCTCCACTTCTCCTTCTCCCTCTGTCTCTCTCTGTCTCTATTTCTATCTGTTTCTCTCTATTTCTAGTGCTCTTCTCCCTCTTCCTCTCCCACATCTCTTACACACACACACACACACACACACACACACACACGTGTGTGTGTGTGTGTGTGTGTGTGTGTGTGTGTATCCACCCTCTGCCCCTGTCTGTCTCTAAAATCTTGACCTACTGAATGACTCCCTTGATCCTGGAAGATCTGCATTTGAAATTTACTTTACCTGTCTGATTTGAGATGGTTCCTTCTGGACAAGTGTCACATTGGTAGCAGCAAACCTGCTTGCCCTCTAGAATTCTTCTCCTCTCTCCTGCCTGGCACCTCTTCATGCCACACCTGGCAAAGGGCACTTTCTAAAAGAGAAGAAGAGAAATGCTTGAAGTAGTCTAAGCATTCTTTTTACTTCTCTATTTCCACCATCATCAGAATGTCTTAAAAGAAACTGCTTCACCAGAGTTTACCAGAAACTCATCTTGGGGGATTCAGCCAGTGGCCTTCCTGAGCCCCCAATAGATACTGGAGATTGGAACATGGACATTAGCATGCAAAGGAAATCTTGTGACACTGAGCTAAAGTTTTTATAAAAGAAAGAATAATGAGGATCCAACTGAACAGGAATGGTCCATGCAAACCACTGCTGAGTACTCTAACTGCCCCCTGAGATTCAAGCAGAAGTTTTTTCCAAATCTCAACACTTTGTGGACATGCCATAAACCAGACTTCAGTTGTGTTATATACAAACATTTTTATTTTTTTACCAAATGGGTCCCATGTTTTTTTGATTCAATGGACCAGTTTTCCAGTTAGAAAAATATTCTGCATCCTCAGTAGAGCTTTTTCTAAATTTACAACATTTCTTTCCAGTTTACCTTTGTAGCCCAGATGATTTTATCAGAATTAATGGTGAAATCCTGGCCTGGGGGAGCCTCAGGATGTATACGCCCAACTTTCATGGGGACAAATGATTGATTGGGGAGGAAAACCCAGTTGAGAAGATCATAACGAGCAGATCCCAGTCCAGCTTCTGAGAAGGAGACTTCCTCTCCAGCACTGTTGTTGAAGTGGACATTCCTCAGAGAGGGAAGAAGCTGAAAGAAAAGAGACCTTCAGCAATTGGAGCTCTTGGCCAAAAGCCACAAATGAGACAGTTTGGTTTTTATCATTCTCTGATGGCCAACATACTAGGAGATATGTGTAAATCTTTAGCTAGAGGTTTCTTGAGATTTGAATCTCATGAGTAACACCGAATGTTTGACTCCTTCCCCACATTACAAACCTTTCTCTAGCATTGGGCATTTGTAATGGCTTCTTCAATTCCATGTTACAAGAATGATACTACATATAAAGATTCTAATGCCCCATTCCATGTTTCATTGTATGGTTTTGATCCTGTGATAATCGGCCATACAGGTAGCACAATCAACCAATGGAACAGAAGTTGCCTTCAGAAGTTGTGGGCGCTTCCTCACTGGAAGCTTTCAAGAAGAGACTGGACTGCCATTTGTCAGAAATGGTGTAGGGCCTCCTGCTTGGGTGTGGGGTTGGGACTAGATGACCTACAAGGTCCCTTCCAGCTCTGTTATTCTGTTGAGGATGCTAAACCATAGAAACATAAACCAAGGTTTAAATGGATTGAGTTGAGTGTCTCTTTAGAGATTGGATCAGGCTGCATAGTGAAACTGAGGTGCTTCTGCAAATATGCTCACTATGACTTTTAAAACATCTTATAAAAAGACACTCAAATTGTCATTTTGTTCTGGGTTGACACCTCCTCCATGGAATGGCCACCCCTAAGCTCAGGAAACTTACAGAAAAACTCTTCCTGTTATGAAAAACTTCTTTGGTTTACTTATCTTCTCCCCTCAAATATCACTTTTCTCCAAACTCCCAAACCATTATATTCCATGAATATGAGGGTTTTTTAGTCATTGATATTTCTAATTGCTATTTCAATCTGCTTCGAGATGCACTGATATGGTAGCATAAATATTGTCAACATTCTGACTGAAGAACCAACCAAAGCAGGTACAGCTGAGACGATCCAATCTCTTAATGCAAAACTTTATTGAGTACCATTTCGGCACTGATGAGGGCAAAACAAGATCTAGCTATTTCACGTGCAAAGCCACATAATTAAAGTATATGAGTCTCCCTCCCCCTATTAGTGCAGATCACGTTGTCCAATTGAACGTCATTGTATTGTTATGAGGAAAAGTCTTTGGTTTTGGTAAATACCTGCCAAAGTGTCCTTGCTCTCCACCTGGGTTTCCTGATTTTACACATTCCATATCACCCTTACCTCCCCCCTGGGCTCATTGGCAAGCTGAGAAGCAATAATGTTTGCAGGAGCAAAAGCACAACCTTTACAAAGATATTTAATCAGTAATCCAAAAAATGCACATGGCATGTTTCCTCTCTAAGTATTTGTAGACTAGATAAAATATCACAGAGATTACCAGCCATGACTGGATTTTGGAGATCCTCTTTCCAAACCTCATGCTGGTTGGTCTTACTCTGGAACCATGCATTGCATGTAAAGCATGTGCCACAGCATACATGGCACTGTAGATACTGTAACTTTCACCAGTCATGCTTGTTTCAAACACATAAGATGGCAGATTCTGTAAATTCTCCTGTCCTGTACATGGTTTCCCCTCCTTTGGAGGGATCTCTCCTGGTCTATGGATCTTGCAGTCAAAGAGCCTTTCCCACCACGGAGGGAGAAAGGAATACCCTTGTGGGTTCAAAGGGTCTAAAGAAAGGAGGAAATGGCTGAATTCTGAGACATCGTCAGTGTGGTCCCTAAAATGCAAAGCTCCATGGAAGTGCCTTCTAAATTGACCTACATCTTGAGATCCCATCACACTAAGTTCCCAAGAGGAAGGTAGGATCCAGACTTTCTGAAGCGATGTCTTTGTGAAGTGTTCATAAACACACAAACTCTGAAGTACAGTTGTAAAACTGTAGGTATCTCCAAACACAATAATCACTTCAAGTTTAAACCAGGTATGGAAAAGCAGAGCCAATCTGGACACTACATTAACAGATTCTTCAGATTTCAACCTTTCAGTGAAGGCCAGGCAGATCTCCTTCTCCTTGAGCATTGGTACCAGAGATGAGATGAAACGTTCTCCGTTGTCATCTTCAGGGGCTATAAGCCCAACCCAGTTCCACTGGAAATACAGGAGCAGCTGGACTAAACCCACGTACTGGGGAAATTCACTTGCATTAATCCGGAAGAAGGAAGGATAAACTCTTCTGTCTCCCTGAGAGAACTCAAAGCCAACACCAAGCTGAAGAAATGGAGGGGTTTTTTCAAACTTTTTTGAATAATTTTAGGAGTCCTCAATGTCTGATTGATTGCCCCACCAGTCAGGCTGATTTCATTTTGTCTGGCAAGCTTAAACTTCTTCCCTTCTTGGGAAGAGCCACCAATTAACATATTTTGGCTGGTTGTGACAGCTCAGAAGCCAAGGGAAGAAACTATTTACCTTATATGAAGAGTAAGCTGCACTGAAATGTTGACTACTTCTTTTAGGAAGAATAAGTTAGAAAGGAATTCCCGTTGACAAGTACAACATTCAGAAATAGACAATATACTTCTATTTGGGTTTATATAAAAATAAAAGAATGGAATAGAAGTACATGGAATAGAATAATAACTTTATTGTCACTTTATTGTCACTAATTGGCCTACATTGAAATTTTGTTGCATACAGCTCTTAAAGGGTCACCACCTCCAATTTTACACTACATAAACATGACAACTTAAATAGATCAATCAATCAATACAAAATTATGTATATACAATACCAACATATATTATATGACACAGAGAAACAAGATTACAAGAAACAACACAGTCTAGTTTATGGTGATGTTTATAGAGGGAAAAACTAACTTTGAGAGTTTACCAGAGGGATGGTGTATGGAAGAAAGCTGTTTACAGAATCTGTTAGTCCTGCTAGAAACACTTCCAAATCTCCTCCCAGAGGGGAGCAACAGAAACAGACCATAAAGTAGGTATGTGGGGTCTCTAACAATTCTTCGAGCTCTAAGCACATAGCTCTTATAAGCAGTATCCTGAATTAAGGGAAGTGAACTTCCCACAATCTTCCCGGTTGTGCTCACTACTCTCTGTAGGGACTTTCTATCTGAGGCACTGCTGCCACCAAACCAAATAGTGATGCAGTTTGTTAAAACACTCTCAGTTGTGCCTCTGTAGAAAATAAACATTCTGTAAATATTCTTGACACATAAATTATAAAAATGCATTAAACTATTACATGGATTCTCTATTTCACATATTCCTGATCTGTCCCCAACATATTCCTGCATGTTGGTGCCTGCTTATGCTTGTGTTATTTGTCTAGTATAGACAGCATCCATTAAAGACCCCTTACCTGTGGGACCTTGAAGGTGCTGAAGATGGAGGCCATCTGCCTTGAGGATTTGGGGTTGTTACCTCCAACAACAGAGATCAGAGTGTCTCGCCTGTCACATTTATAACCCGGAGCCTCTTTGCCCCGTGTGGAGAGCAAGGAGAGGCTGGTTAAAGAGACCCTCTCCTCAATCTGATGATTGTCATAGATGTGTAATCCAAGTGTGATATTTGGAAGCAGAACCTGATCATTGTTGACCTCTCTGACGGCAAATACCAAGGCCAGGGACTGTTGGTAGTTCCTTGGTATGATGCTATAGTGAGAAAAACATTGAGGAAAATTACAAGAAAGCTTTTTGGATGGTGGTGGAGTTGTCCTTGGTCTTTCTTTGGATTTCTTTGGACAGCAACTTTCAAGTTTGGCTACAGTGGCTGTAATCCTTCCCAACTACCAGGTGACGAAAGGAGGAGGGATGGAAGTGAACTGTGATATGGACAGAAAGGTTTTTCTCCTTTTTCACAAAGCCATCCAAGTTTAATCAAGGAACATCCTTTTAAAAAATGCAGATGCAATGAAAAGCCTAGAGATTTCAACTAAAGTAGGACATGGTTAGAATGCAGTATTGCAGGCTAACTCCCTGCCCACAGCAAGCAGTTCAATCCTGACCGGCTCAAGGTTGACTTAGCCTTCCGTCCTTCTGAGGTCGGTAAAATGAGGACTGAGATTGTTGGGGGGATGATAGGCTGGCTCTGTGAACTGCTTAGAGAGGGCTGTGAATCACTGTGAAGCAGTATATAAGCCTATTGCTATTGCAAACATCAGTAGAACATGAATTCCTGAGTCTTTGAATCCCACACAAAGCAAAAAAACAACAACAAACTCTATATACTGAATTTCTCCTTCATATGAAACTTACTAAACTCTGAAAGTACGCCATGGGCCCTTTTGGAAGTCTGGGATGTTGGAGTCAGCAATGGTGGCCAGGAGAAAATTCCCACCAATCATGAGATCACCAGGGCTATAGTATTCTTCCTGATAATGGAAATAATGCCTCAACAGATCTACGGTTCCCATCCTCGTTGCAGATGTTGGAGGCAGGAGCCAGAATTGCAACAGCAGGAGAAGCAGCCCTGTCATTCTTCTCACCTGCCCTCCTAGATCAGAAATCAAAGTTTGTGCAGAAGCTGAATTGCAGGTAGGAGTCTTAGCGCCATAGAAACAGACTGTGCCACCTGGATGCCTCGGGGCAATTTTAGATCAATCATATTTCTTCTTACCTGTGTTGCTGAGAGAAAACTAAGGCCAGCTGAGTCTCACAAAACCCAGGGGTTTCCTCTTTGCAAGACAAAGTGAGGTGACGTGTCCTGCCCCCACATGGAGAACTCAGAACATATTTTTTTTAAGCACTTTTTATCTTGGAAGAGTTTGTGGTAAAATCCACAAGGGTTAAATTAAAAATTACAGTTCTTCTGATAATTGCAAGGAAAAGAAATTGTCCTACCTAGGCAGTGGGTTGGACTAAATGTCCTCCAAGGTCCCTTCCAACTCTGCTATTGTATTGTACCCACTTAGCTTCTCTTTGCATACCAGGAGGAGAAAAATATACCTGTGTCTCTTCTGGTTAATCCACAGAGAAGATGCACCTGAGAATGAAAGTGAAGTTGGAAATTGGACCCACCTACCTGAAACTGAGCCCTTGCAAGATGATGGAGTTTGACTCGTTCCTTCATTTTGGGGGGAAATATGGCTGCCTATGCAGCATAGTGGCACATAAGTATTGACTGATTTATTTATATCACAGCAGCTGAAGTTAGAAACTATTTTTTCCAATAGACCTTAAAAGTAGACAGTTAAATCTGTACAGATGTTTGGCTAATTTGAACTCTACACCACGGGTGTCAATATCATGGCATCATCATGTGACATATCGTGACTCCCCCCCCCTTTTGGGTGGGAGTGGCCAGCACATGACCACACATAGAGCCACGGGGGTGCAGTGGTTAGAGTGTAGTACTGCAGGCTATTTCTGCTGATCACCAGCAGTTTGGCAGATCAAATCTAACCTGGCTCAGGATTGATTCTGTGTTTCATCCTTCCGAGGTTGGCAGAATGAGGACCCAGATTGTTGAGGGGAAGAGGCTGACTCTGTAAATCGCTTAGAGAGGGCTGTAAAGCATTATGAAGCTTTTTCTTTGGAGGTTCAGGGCTGCCACATTTAGTGCTCTGAGAAAACGGTAGTGGGGTTGCCGGAAGTGGCATGTGGAGCCATGTTGCCTAGAACATGCAGCATCACCCGTTCCTCTTTTGGGTTCCTGACATGCATACATGCACGGTGATCAGCTGACCTTCGTGTGTGTGTCAGTGCAGCTGATTAGTATGCATGCATGCGTGCCAGAAACCATAAGAACTGCTGGCCGGTGTGTGCCAGAAATTGGAAGTTCATTTCCTGGCGTGCACATGCCCTCTAGGCCACTTTTCTTCTGGGTTGTGACCCTGATGAGTGTGTATGCGCACGTGTTCCCTTTTTGGTGCCGAAAAAGTTCACCACCACTGTGTTAGGCTAATTAAACTCTATAGCAGGGGTGTCAAACCCATGGAGTCATGTTATCCTCATGTGACATATCATGACTTTTCCCCCTTTGCTAAACTTAGGGAGGGTGTGACTAACACATGATGCATACAAGTCACAGATTGACACATCTGCTCTACAGGAAGGTTGTATAACAATTATCTGAGATCAGAAAAGTGTCTTTGCTGTCTTGGGAAGTATGTCTTCAGAATTGTCAATTGATGAGGAAAGGATATTGCTACCTCTGAACAAGCTGAGCTAATAGGAATTGTTAGGTAAGCTCCCCGTTGGGAGAGCGAGTATGTTCAGTGAAGCGTTGTGAGAGTTGTGTTGGAGAACACACAAACCAGCATACAGAGACACTGCAGTTTAAATAGGCTTTTACTTTCATGGAAATAGAGGTAGTTTAGTTTAGTTTTATTATTATTTATAGGCCGCCCTTTTCCCTGAGGGGACTCAGGGCGGCTTACAAAATATAGGGAGGGGGGTACAAAACAGTAAACATAAAACAATACATAAGTAAAAATAGTACACAACATTCATTCATCATTCGGGTGGGGACAGATTACGATCATTATCCCCAGGCCTGATGGGATAGCCAGGTCTTGAGGGCTGTGCAGAAGGTCTGGATGGTGGTGAAGGTACGAATTTCCACGGGGAGATCGTTCCAAAGGGTCGGAGCTACTACTGAAAAGGCTCTCCTCCGTGTGGTTGCCAGTCGACACTGACTGGCGGATGGAACTCGGAGGAGGCCTAATCTATGCGATCTAATAGGTCGCAAGGAGGTAATTGGCAGGAGGCGGTCTCTCAAGTACGCAGATCCACTGCCATGAAGGGCTTTATGGGTGGTAAGTAGCACCTTGAAGCGCACCCGGAGGTCAACAGGTAGCCAGCACAGCTCGCGGAGGATAGGTGTTATGTGGCCGAACCGAGGTGCACCCACAATCACTCACGCAGCCGCATTCTGGACTAGCTGAAGTCGCCGGATGCTCTTCAAGGGTATCAGAGTCCATCAAACAGTTCCAGTCATACACGATAAGACAGTCAGTCATCAATGTCTTTCAGTTAAGGGATAATCCAAATAACATAGTCCAGTATCATATAATCAGTTCAGTACTCAAAGTTTGCTAGCAATTGCAAAACTTACAATAGCTCACGACACTCAGATTAGATCAGCCCAGCATCTAAAGAACAGAAAGCTAACAATCATTCTGGCTCCCTCTTATGGCCGATTGAGGGAAACAGCAACCAATCACATTTTACAGTATGATTTAAAGAAACAGGTACAGCATTGCTATATGACTTATATATTGCCAACCCAACTGTTAGAATTATATTCCTAACAGGAACGACTGCACGATACTGGTTGATCTTTCACTGAAGCTGGTTCCCATTGGTTGGGAAGGAGAAATTAGGCCAACACCTGTTTCTCAGGGTGTCACAGTGAGGCCTTCTCAGCTCGAGGTCAAGCATCATCCATATTCTGATGATGTTTAATTATTCTACCAATATTTGACCAAGGAATGCTGTCAAGGATTTCTCCCAGTGCCCGAAGACCATTGCCAGGAGTTTCAACCCCAACAAAACCAAGTAGCTGTGGATGATTTGTCTTCTCAGTACTGGGGACCTTCCATCTTTGGTCCTGCATGACATTGCACTACCATTCTTGGGACTACTGTGCACTATGAGGGTCTCACTGGGCTGTCAGCTCTTGCTGAAGGAGCAAATGCATCTCTGGAAGTTTTAGATCACCATCTGTCTGGGGAAGCTGCAGAGACATCTAGGAAGGGTTTTGCAACTGCAGTCAGAGCTGCCTTCTAGTACTTAAGTCAGTAACTCCATCGCCTACTTTCTAGAAAAACAGAGAACAAGTCATGGCCTTCTCTGTGTTAGCCTTTCATGTCTTGGAAAAGAGACATCACCACCCCACCTCCATCTTCACTCATTGATATTGAATATTCCCAATTCTAGGAGTCTGCCCCAAATTTAAAAAAAAAAAAAAACATTGGCAACTAGAAGACGGCCATATATCCTGGAACCATAGCTGAAGAAGCTTCTTGGATAAGAAGTGAAATGTTTTCAAAGAAAAGTCCATTTGCCCCTTGAAAACCACCTTTAACACTCGAGTAGATACTTTATTGCTGATCAGCAATATTACAAGAAACTGGCCAAACTGTCTGCCTTCCTTTGGGAAAAAGCAGATATAGAACTAAGGGTCTGAATGAAGATCTTTCTCCTTCAAACTGACTCTGCATTGCAATGTCTATTTTTTCCCCTAGAGGTGCCCATTCTCCTCTAGCCGATAATCTACCACATCAAGATTGGCTATGTTCAAACTCTCCTGTGGTAGAGATAGTATTTATTGTATGGAAATTGTTCCTTTTCATACTTTCCAGCACATGCCTAAGGAAGCTGTTGAGCCATGGGGAATTTAAGTATATTTCATGCAGTTCCAGTTGTCCAAAACTGCATTTATCACAAGTCCAAGCAAGTGGACTGAAGTCAGTACCTCACTGAGTGCTCCCCATTTGAAAGTAGCTATGATCACCATGTTGGAGT